TCAGTCCGTTTCCGACGCGACCAATAAGGGTATCGGCGAGATCATGCAGTTCAAGAAGTTCAATGATGGTATCAACGTACTTGAGCTTCTCCTCAGCAGGCACATGGCGAGGCTGGCGGAGCAGGGCGGAGAATTCCAAGGCCTCACGGACAGTGGCAAAAGGCTCGTGGACATCAAGTTGTTCACAGTAACCGGCAGAGCGCTGGAAGGAAACGGGCAGAGGACGACCGTCAACAAGGACGGAGCCATGAATGGTACCCTCAGTCTTGCGCTGAGCCAATACATCCAGGAGAGTGGTTTTACCAGCACCGGAGGAACCCATCAGGGCACCCAGCATGCCAGGCTTCACCCATCCGTATACCTTGTCAAGGAGCACGCGATCGCCACTAGGGGTCTTAACCGTGTAGGTGAGATCTTTCCAGGTGAAAACAGAGGTGTTTTTGACAAGCTGCTTGTCAAGGTCGCTTTCACTCTGGCAATTGTCACCATGGGGCTTCTTGGCTTTCTCGTCGACCTGGGATTCCTCGTCGGGGCGGGCAACCTGGCGATGGGCATCGATCCTTTCGCGTGGGATGAGAAGGGAGGAACCGCTCTCACCGGGAGACTTCCAGCGGGACGTCGCGATGATGGTGGCGGCAGCGAAGAGAGCCCACCAAGCCCAGAGGATACCAAAGTTGCGCCAGACATGGGTATGGCTGTAGGACAGGGAAGCCAGGTACTGATCACCAGTGACATAGGTGCTTCCGGGGATGGCACCGCCAACACCGGCGCATGATTGATGTCCGTCTGCACCGTAGCCCTCTCCACTGGGAATGAGGTTGGTCCCCACACAAGGAATGATCTTTCCGTGGAATTCGTTGGAGAGCAGCGCATCGAAACCGTAGGCCATGGGGTTGATCCAGTAAATCCAGCCGAACCAAGGGTGCATCTGGGGCTTCTTAATCATATAACCGGTGTACATAATCAGAGCCGAGATGAGGAAACCAGAGACCTTGGAGGCGCCATCGAACGTGCTGAAAAGCGCGCCAATCGCGCGGAACAGCGCTGTCATGGCCTATGCGAGACGTCAGTACAAATCCGGGCAACAAGCGGATATTCACGTTTACTCACCATAGTTGCAGTGAAGACAAGGATCCAGTAGGTAAAGAAAGCGCTGGCGGACATGGTGAGGCCAACCATGAAGTAAACCACGATAGAGAATATGCTGATTTGGAACAAGAGGACTGGGATATCGGCAGTAATCTGAGCGATACAAAAGGCGGCAGGGTGGAAGTATGCGAAGCCTTTGTGTTTGACCAGAACCGGGCGACCGCTGAAAGAGTCGGTGACTTCGGACATGGCCAGAAGACTGTTGTAGAGCAGGGAGAAGAACAGAGCACCGGACTTGACAAACAAACCACCCGAGTTATTAGGGGCATTGTAGAACAGTGAACCAGCAATCAACGCCTGAACCAGGGTAGAGATCTGCTTGATGAAAAAGGTGGCCTTGTCACCCCAGATGATTTGGTACTGGCGGATAATGCAGGTCTTGACCTGGTCAATGAAGTCAACCGTCAAGGGACTTGTCTTGGGAAGTTTCTTATTCTTCTCTTGGGCGACGGATTCCTTGAATTCGGCAGTGCGCTGGCGTGCCAGATCGGTGTCGGGGTAATCGTATTCGGAGGTCATTTGCGTATAGATAGGCGACTTCTGGTATTCAGCGAGAATCATGTCCGCGTTACGAGGGAAGCGGTTTTCGTAGCCTGGTCTGATAATGCGTTCAGTGGGGACCGTGACACCGGTAAGGTAATCCGCGACGTTGGAACCCTCGCGACAAACAAAGCCCAGATCCTCCATGAAGGGACGCGCCTGAGTCATGGGGCCGTAGTAGATTTCCTTGCCTTCATCCAACACGAGCACCTTGTCGAACAGGTCGTAGATACCGTTTCCGGCCTGGTAAAGGGTGACAATGGAAGACAGACCCAACACATCTGTCATGGCACGAACAGCCTTGGCCCATTCGAGAGCCGTGCTGGCATCCAAACCACGCGTGCTGTTATCCCAGCAGAAAACGGAACCACGAGTCGCAAGACACTCGATAATGGAGACACGCTTACGCTCACCACCCGAGACACCACGCACATATTCATTGCCCACCTTGGTATCGTTCGTATGCGAGATGCCCATAGATTCGAGAAGGAAGTTCTTGGCTTCCTGGCGGTAGGCTTCGGGGGACTCGACGCCGTTAGGCAGGTTGAAGGGAACCTTAAGACGAGTCGCAAAATCCATAGTCTGGCCCACGGTCAAGGTGGGGAAGAAAATCTCCTCCTCGGTATTCATGACAATTTGGCCGCGGTACTGGGCTGCCTCATCCGATGTCAAGGATCCATAGTGAACATCACCTTCAATCGAGTTGTAACCGAGGCGTCGATTGGACAGCATCTTCAGGAGGGTGGTGCAACCGGAACCGGGCCGACCCAAAACCAAAAGCATCTCTCCGGGCTTGACACAGCCATGGCTGTTGGAGAGGATGGAACGCAACGGCGGCTTGTTCTTGGACTCCTTGATGTGCTGAGGGATGTTGAACTGGGACAGGAAATTTTCGTTGACGGCGGCCTCGGCGCTGACGACGTCGACGGAGAGGTTCTTCCAGGTGACACCGAGTTCCTTGCGTTTGAAGCCAGATTGCATGTCCCGCTCATTTTGCTGCTTGACCTGGGACATCATGGCCCAGCCGTCGGCACGACTGGCACCGGGGTTGCGAGGAGTGACGGTGGGATCGTCATCGAGGACGGTAGCGGTGCTGTCGGTATCTTCCTTGCCTTCGGGAACCCCGAAGGTATAGGAGACTTTCTCCTGATCCTCCGCCATAGTGGGCTTCAATGAGGAATGACTTGACGATGCTGTGAAAGTCAAGGGTCACCCTGTCGATCGGGAGTAGGGGTGGTCATTTCGACCGGGGGCACTTTGGGGGAGCGAGAAGCTCATATACTCCTACCACGCAGCTGGGGGAGTCGGTGGGGGCCCTCCAAAAACTTCAGGGAATCGGGATCCAGGCCATTTCCGAGATCCACCGGGCACTTCGGCTGTGTGAAAAGCTCCGCTGAGTCAGGAGGATTCCGATACATCAGGCCGTCCAGATACAGAGGTACGTAAGGAAAGGCGATTATTTTGGACTAGTGGAATGTGAGAGATAGTTTGCAGCCTGCCATTATGGGGCCGGGGATCGGTTCCGTGGCTTCTGCAAGCAGAATCTGTTTACTTTTTTTTTTCCCAATCTATCGTGGCGCGGGCCACTTCCGCTGGTTTTTCCTCTTTCGTCAATATTAGTGGGTCTCCTGGATTAATCCAGGGCCGTGAGTGGCTCTCTGTCAGTCTCTGTGACCAATCAGGCTTGACAGTTGTCAAGTCGGCGTTATCAAACGGCCGAATCTCCGCTCGACGGAATTCTGTCTCTCTTTTTCCTCTGAGTCAGCGGATTAAACATTGGAAGAAGAGTGCCTATTGGTGCGATGATACAGTCACGGCTTGCCTTTGAATCTCTCCGCTGACTCAGCGGAACTGTGCGGCTCTCCTAACCACGATCCCCTGCCGTTTCGGCCTTTGGAGCTTTCTCGTCTCACGGATCCTAGTGGCGCCTGCAATCCATTGTCGTGTTCCAGAACATTGGGCATGGAACGTGTCTCATCGTCTTGCAACTTGCAAGCTTGGAGCTTGGACCTTCAGGGTCGACGATGTGCTGTGGGACTAGGGATGACAATAGACAGCAAGTACATGCATTTTCAATATCCCCAAAACACTCATCCTTGAATCACCTCTTGAACAAGATCTACATTTCTATGTATTGTTTTCTAACACAAACCCGGGTAATAGTTTCCGGAACATCGATCCCGGTCTGCCTGAAGTGCAGAGTGCGTGGGAGTGAGTGAGCTGTAAATCACCTCACTCTAAAATCTCACCGGCCGTATTCACATGCAGCCTCCCAGCAGCCATACATGCTGTGTACATCACCCTACCTAGCAATCACCAATACCTTGTCTCGGCAATCAATTGATTACCATATCAGTAATTCCATCAGATAAACATACCGAATCCTTGCAATGACACAATCGCTCCATCCTCAAAATAGTATACCAAGAGGTCAATCATGGATCCATCGACCTGACACGAGGACCGCCACCAAAGTCAATCACTAACTCATTATTCGACACTTGTGCATTTATAATATTGATTCCGAGGCTCGCTCATACAAGCCGCCGAAATGCCGATCTTCCTCGGGATTTTCCTTCAGGTTCTTATCTCCGGCCACAATTTCTCTACGTACCTCAGGGGTGGATCTATACCCGTTTGGGTGGTGGTTGCGCCCTGCAGCCTACAGCAGAGAGGGTGGGTGTGATGTCCCTGTCCTGTCCTGTTCCGGCTGTCCCTCTCCTGTCCAGCCTACCGATCGGGCCGCTTCCGAGCCCGATCAGCCTTATGTGACTGTTTACTACGGTCGCAAACTGAAGCTTAGACAGCTGGTCACTCGACAATCAGTAGTCATTCGTGCGCGGCGCAGGATAAAACCTATGAAAGGTATGATGAACATGGGTAAGGGGTGTTATCTTTATAGCCAAATAATGATACACATGGTTGGTTGCCTTAGCTGCCTCAGCTTACTGATATGAACGGTACGGAGTTTCTATAGTCTCTTATTCCGAACGCACTAAGATGCATACTTGAGTCGTATGTGGGCAGATGAAAGTTGGCATGAATCTGGTGTTCTTGCTATATTTAATCTATATTATGATACCTATTATTGCCCCATATTGAAGCTGTGCTTGGTACTTTGTACCTGCCATTCAATGAGTGCACCCCGACCGTGCTCATCAGTTCCTGGCGGGAGTAGTAAGTGGAATTTGTACGACAACGACAGGCTTCAAATTAAAAAGTGTAATAATTGCATTCATTATAGCAGGCTTATTCCAATATATTTACTCCACAGTCCTATGCTATTGATTTACTCGATAATTGTTTCTGTGTGTATCCTTTGAATAAGGGATAAAAATGACATGTCTCATTCACACCATAACCTTGGTCCGTTGACCACAAAACACATACTACCAGTAGTAATACTTATATACATGCAAATCCAGTTCAGTCTAGTTCAATCTCCTCCATATCGCAATCCCCCTACTGTCATCATCATAAGATCCTGCTTGACTATCCGGCGGGGGTTTCGTATGGGGTGGTCCGATAACAGTTTGACTTCACAAGGAATCAAAGTATCGTGACCGTTGGGTGTTTGCGAAAGTAGGGAACGGGAACCATCAAGGTTCCATCAAAAGCGAAAATAAAACCAAGGACGAAAAGCCGATGAAACAGTTTTCAAGTCATCTAGTAATAACTCGTGGGGCCCTGCTTTCTACCGAGAATTTGGCTGCAACAGAACCAGTCAGTGAAATGCTCATTTGTGTTCCTGGGAGCAGTATAACTCACAGATATTGGTCCAATTCATCTAGATGACGACGGTGTTCGAGCATCTTCTGCCGCACCATTTGGTATGTCTCGGGTTGTTCAGGTTGCGTCTGCGTTGACTGCTGGGTCTTGACAAAGTATCGCTCACTGGTGGCTTCCCGGCGGGTGATTGGCTCTTTGCTGCATGTGAAAGTGACGGTTAGCTTCGGGTGTTACTGGTGGTGCTGGTGCTGGTGCTGTTTGCAACCATCGCAGTGATGTTTGAAGAGGGAGAAGTGGATCACAGTGCTCCGAAACAGTCCATGACGTCATTGCAACAGGGCCCGGCAGTGGTTTCCCCCCGCAACACTCTCCGAAAGGGGGAACAACAACCAATACAGGAGATAGTTGGATAGCAGTCAGGTTCACACTTACTCGGCCAGATATCCACGAGGCTTGGGGTTGATCACTTGTCCTTCGCGTCGAGCAGGGATGGCAATTGAAAAGGATCGCACGTTGCTGGAACTGCGGACAAGAGGACGCGACATTTGGCTGAGAGGCGACATGATGACGGTATAGTATAGATTGATGGGTATCTCTTCGAACTGAGGCAAAGCACGAGTGTCGTCGTTGTAAAGAGTGACCGTTGCGATCGAATCGAAATGTGAATTATGAGACGTCTATTTGAGCAGTAGCGTTATACAATGGGATGAACGAGCCATGAACGATTGGGCGACTGGCCGATTATATACAACGACTGGATTGTCCCGTGAACGTCATGTGACTCGGCTGCCCTCTCAATCCGGCGATGCTGAAACCAAAGTTCTCATTAATGCAGCAACTCAGCTTCCCATTTTCAGGCGAACCAAATTGTTTGCCCTGAGACCAATCTTCCCATCTCCCATTCAACAACGGACCAGTGTCGTCCGCCACCGCCACGATCGACGAATCCCCGGATCGGCATCCTTCTCATCCCCCGCCCTTGACGGCCCCCGCGCCAGACAAGTGATGGTCATTGCTTTGCATCATTGGACAGGAAGAGAAAGGCCCGGCGACGCAAGGGATGGATGGGACACTTCCTTCCTTTCCCATTTCCCTCCCACAGTTTGTTACCGCCACGGACGGGATTGGTGGTGCTCTGTTTACCAACCATGTGGTATGATATCATCTGCGGGGATGGACATGCCAATCTTTGCGAAGACGGACCTATGGTTGAGCTGTGTCACTCCGGCTCTGCTGCAACTCTGCCAGGACACCTCTGCTCCGGCCAATGACAGTTCACATTGCCACGACAGATGATTGCCGGTCGCTGGCAGGCATTTCCCGCTGCACCAGAACAGCCAGCCAGCTTGGACCAATGTTCTGGCTGCTGGCACGGAAGGTATACGAAGGTAGTATGCAAATCTGCAACATCCCAGCTATCTGTCCTACCCTGCCAAAAAGGCCTCGGTGGTAATCCTGCATACCACCAACGCAATGGTACTAAATACCTCACCCAGCTTTAAATTCCTAGTTACACGTCCAATAACACCCGAAATGCGCTTCTCAGTGCTAAAGCTTGGATGATGGGAATGTGACAATCGACGTCATTTTGCTTTCGCGTCCAACCACCAGACAGCCACATGGTTTTGAAAGAGCGGGTTCCAAACTCCTGCCCGCCAGTTCATGAGCAAGAAAAGTTCCAGAACCGCGATACCAAGGGAAGGTCATCCGAAGAGTGCTCCGTGTTTTTGCTTTCTCTGCTACAGCGTATCAGGAGAATACCCAAGTTACCTAGATTGGTTGCTAGCAAACTCAACTGCTAATCCACCACTTGTATCGCTGGATACGTACATTGACAGCGTCACACTTTGCCTTCAACATTGCCTTGAAGGCGAGCTTTGAATTAAGATGACGGCGGGCGGCTACTACCGGGGGTTCCTCGGGCGGGCCACTGCCGAGACTAGGCCGTACTGTAGCAGTATGCATAGTAGAGGGGTTTCCTCAGTTCTAAAGTATACTACGTACGACTGCCACCTAGTAAATTGTAATATCAAGTACTATTATGCTGAGAAGTGGTTTATTCTTGTCTTGAATCTATGATCATCATTACTACCATATTCGTACCCTCACACTGCCTTAGGTACTACTACAGTTTTGTACTAGTACTTAACCTCGTAAATATATACCACTGCATGAACTGGCAGTCACTGCGATCATCAATTTTTGAGCATTAACCACACTCACAGCAGACTACTAGTAGTACACTTGAACGATTGAGATTGGTAGCAGTAGTAGTAGTAGCCAGTATTTGAAGAAGACAACAACTGATATTCTAGATCACATCCCCTAGTGGTATAGTAAGCGTTGCTATACATAATCATCTACCATTAACCAACAGTAGTACTCTTCCAGTTTGGCAGCAGTCAAACCAATTGATTATCCCAGGTCTGTTATAAATGCGAAAGTGTAGTAGTATCTTATAGACTTCATTATAGCTTGCCAATTTGCAATGAAGCAGCTTCAGATATATGCTGGCTGACTGGTGACATTGTATAATTCGTTATGAATGGCTGTGCGCGTATATATGCAAGATTAGTCATAGGGTACTCGAAGTGCATGCGTGACTAAGATGGTTTTATCCACTGCATAAGTATTTATTAAAAGTAGTTCTGCTATTGTCTGTAGAGAACTGCACTTGACTTTAGTGTCAGTAAATCGCTGGGAGCAGTTATCCATATGATCATCCATCAACAGCTGGAATAAACATGCTGTACATCGATCAACGAGTCCACTATGTACTGTAATACATCCCGTCAGGCTCCCCTGCATAGCAAGGGATGAACGAGAAATGCCCATAAATACGTATCCCTATCTACCCTCACCTATATTCTCCCTCAAACAAAAGCACAACTTCTCAACCAGCAACTTGACCATCCACAGAATCTCCTTATTTCTTTCCGCCGTCGACTGATTCACAGACATCACCTCTCTGATTACCTGCTGACGATGACTCTCAGCCGCAAGCACTTCTTCTCCGTCGTCTCCATCAACACGGAGCAGAGATACAATACGTGCCCATTCACGATGTAGATCGATGTCTCTGCTGTCTTCCTTCAGGATGTCCACAAGAATCTTGATCTCCTCGGTGAGGTGGAGTCTGTGTTCCGCAGAACTGAAGTAGTTATCTGGGCGTTGCCTCTCAAGTGGGAGGAGACTCAGTGTGTCATGCAAAGCTGGGCAGTACTGTCTTTCTATATCGACAGCACCGGACACACTCAAACCTGCTCCCCCCCCAGCAGAAGCAGGCATATCCAGCCTCCTCCCATCCAAAAACGCACCAATACGCCCTGCACAAAATCCCCACGACCACCACCCCCTCCCAGCCCTCTTGACAAAATAAACCACCGTATGAAACCCGACCTGACCAACAACCCCAATTAACGTCGTCATAACCGGCACTGCCAGCAGGGCCCAAAACACAAAGAACGACTTTCCCAGATTACTCGTTGGATAGAAGTCCCCGTATCCGATCGTCGTCAGCGACACGAACGTGAAATACAATGACTCAAAATACGTCCATCCCTGGCCCCGCTCGGAGGACTTGAAAATGCGGGCGCTGACGAGCCAGAGAAGGAGCCATGCGCACGAAGAGAAAATGAATACGATCCAGCGGTGACGGCTTTGCCAGTGGGATTTGATTTGCCTAATTCTGACGATGTCGCGATGTGGTGTCTCGTGGAGATGGATACCTTCTGCCTCGAGCTCGAACTTCAGGCGCAGCTCGCCCATCTTCCTTGAAACGGAGGCGATCGAACTGACGAATAGTCCTAGACAGGTGATGCCTCCCGTCGCGTAGGGGATTAGGAGACTACGGCCGAGATGGGTCTTCGGGACGATGTTGCCGATTCCGATTGTTAGGATGGTGTATGCGGACCAGTAGAGGGAGTCTGTTAGGGACCATGCTTCAATGGGGATGTAGATGGCTGCGCCGCCGAGGAGGAATGCGGCGAGCGTGAAGGCGCGCAGCACGATGCTTGTGTTTTCGATGATGCGGCGGTCTTGCATGCTTAGGTGGATGGTACGGACGCCGCATGCGTAGATTGCTAGGAGCGCTGCGATGAAGAGGTAGAGAGTGGCGGCGAAGATGCCGTAGTAGAAGTTCTGCGTATATTGCAGTGTTTGAGGGGGGTTGGTATAGGGTGGTTGGTCCACAGTCACGCCGATTAGACTGAATAGGAGCATAGAGGATACGAAGTAGAGTAAAGCCGTCGCGAGGTATCCTCTCACTGCATCCAATTTGAGCATCATGATCAGAAGGAGGGCAAGGTCAGCTGTGGCGGAGAGTGCGAGCGATATAGCCGTGATCGTGACGGCCCACCTAAATCATTTAGATGCGATGATCGGCAGCCCCCACGGCTGAAGTATATCGGAAATGGAGACTCACCAAGCACTCTGCACTACTACCACACTTTCCACATCAGAAGAATCAATTTCAAGCCATCCATAGCTAACTGCACAAATACCGAATACAGTGGCCATGGCGCTCATAGTTCCCTGGACCCACAAGTTAGCGACCATTCTCACTGATCCATCCCCATGGAAGACGGAGAAATATACCGCCAGAACAGGGAAGCTGGTACACGCGAGCCACCAGCGAGACATTCCGACCGAGTAATTCTATCAGAGCAGCAGTAAGCAGCAGTAAAGTACAGTCTGTGGTCCGAAATTTGAGAAATGCAGTGGTTTGGTTCGTTGTGCGAATAAAGTCGGGATACGAGGTTGACATCACGGGGACCATGAGGTTCCCGGTCAATTCATACATTGGCTTAGCTTCACAGTGGGAACTGGTCGAGGAGGTGAATGTTATTAGCGCCGTATTCCCGTGATTGTACTTGGGTAATCATGTACTGATGACGATAACTTCTATACACTACTACGTACTGCTATTTGTGATTTGGTTGTGAAGCTCTGGCGTGACCCGAGTGGGTGTTAACATGTATTGTGAACAAATTAAGAGAGGTTAATTGCTTGCAAATACTCAAGTTACATATCGGAACCCCTTCTGGAGCCGGCGGGCGGCAGCAATGTCGATGCCCTCTACATCCGCCGTCTTTTGTAGCCGACGAAGTTCTTTCTCAGTCAAAATCGCATCTTCATCCTCCAGGCGTGCTAGTCGCTTGTTTTGCGATCGTAGATGGAAGTACAGGAACGTCGCCATGATAGTGCCTAGAACTTGCATTCCGATGCACACCCCCAAGGCCGTGTAGTAATACGGAGCCTCCTTTTCCAGATAGGTATACGGAGTCCAGATACTGGCTGAGTTTCCCAGAGAGTTGATGAACGCATATGCGGCAGCGCGTTTGGCGGGAGGTCGGGGAATCGCATTCGCGATCCATGAGTATATCGTGCCGTTCTGGGCAAAGACAAAGACCATGAGGAAGAATGAGAAATACCGAGGCCCGAAGGAATGGGTGGTCATGAAGATAATAAACCCCACGATGGTGATGGGGATGGGGCCGACAAAGAACCAGTATCGATGGGCGAAACGATCGGAGAGATAGGAGTGGAAGAGACTGTATACCACCATGAATATGTATGGTGGTGCTACCAAGAGCAGAGAGATGATATGGCTATACCCCAGGGTTTCTGTCAAAGTTGGAAAGAAGTTTTGGAACCCACTTGCGGCCGTGAGAGACATGTACGCAATGGCCAGGGCATAGGTCTTGACGTCCGTAAAGGCTAGCTTCAGACCTTTAATTTGGCTCATCTTGTCGCCGTCGTCAACATCTGCTTCGGCTGCCTCAATGGCCAAGCGGCGATTGGCGACATGCTTCATCTCCGGCGACAACAATTTCCAGGTATCGGGAAAGTCGGGTAGCACAGCACAGATGGTCAGACCGATTGCGACAGTGATGGTACCCTCGATAATGTATAACCATTGCCAGGCTGACATGCCTCTCTTGCCGGCAAGACCGTTAAGGATGCCCGCAGCGATCAGGTTTCCAAAGGCACCGCTGAGCAATGAGCCAGAGTAGAAGATACTCATGCGAAGGGCCAATTCTTTCTTGGTGTACCATTTGGAAAGGTAAAAGAGAACACCCGCAAAGAATGGTGCCTCAACCAAGCCGAGAATGAATCGACATGCCACGATGCCACCGTAGCTTGAGACCTGGCTGGTTAAGGCCGAGACGAGGCCCCACGCTGTCGTGAAGAAGCCAAGGTATAGTGAAGGACGGCCCATGTAGTTGAGGAGCAGGTTTGATGGGACCTGCATCAGGATATAGCCCACAAATAGAATGGACAGTCCTGTCTCGTACTTGGCTTCATCGAGTGAGAGGTCCTGTTCTAATCCTTGAAGCTTCGCAGCGGCGTAGTTATTCCTATCAAAGACGGAAAGACGTTAGCGCATCGCAATTTACAGTCACCCAATGGCAAGAAACTGTGAGATATACCGGTCGATGTAATTCATCAGATAAACCAGAATTACCAGCGGCATTATGAGGGTGTCAATCCGCCGCCGCAATTGCCTCTCCAAAACCTTCTCCTCCGGCGTCAACTGTGCCAAATGAGCAACCTCCTCATGAGAGATCTCGGCTTTTTCGCCCATGGCGTCATGGTCGGTGATGATTCTGTCGGCCATGATGAAACTTCTGGCAGGCGAGTCAAGATGCAGGCAGAGACAGGGTGCAGGAACGATCCTGTTGCGACTCCAAACTGAGGGCAAGCTTCAGCTATATATGCCCCAAGACAAGGCAAGAAGCTTGTTGCTTCTTACGGTGTGATCGAGCTTCCAGGAAACACATGAGAAGAGTGATGCCACCTGCAAATCCGGGGGAGTGGCAGGCGTGGGGGGAATTTCCACCCAGCTTGGGCCATCCAGGGTCCTGGTTGGACGCACGCAGATGCCGGAGAGCATCACAAATGCGGGGAAGACAGTTAGAATTCGAACCAGAAGCTGTCCGGCTGATTCTCACCCCCACGCCGCTAGCTACCGCCCGTGCTATTCTTCTTCATCCATCGTGCGACAGGAGCTTTGGTGTCGGACATCGTCCGGGGAAGTGGAGCTGATCAACTCATTGGTGTGTCTCGGGCCTCCCCTGACGCTTCGTATCTTTGATCCTATAACACGGGTATGATATGGGTCTGGGAAAGTTTGTTTGAAATCCCCGCCGCCAGCAACGAATCGACGTATACTTGGCGGTTCCCCAAGTCGCTAGGATCCACTGTCCATGGCTCCAACCTCGGGGGAGAATAGTCGTCTGTGTCGCAACCTGCAGTCTCGCTGTACACAAGTCCGCTCGGGGAGATATGCATTTTTGGTCATGCTGGCAAAAAGGTTAAGCTCCCGTGTTTGTTCCCCTCAACGGAAGACGAGGATTGGCTCGCAGGATTTCCGTGCAGCACCACATTCTAAGGTTATGTCTTGGTGATGTCGTCACACCCTGCATGTCGGCATTTCTTTCTGGTCGGCGATTTGCCGGTTCCATGCAGTACATCATGTGAGTCTCAGTCAGGTGATCCGTTATTTCCTTCAAGCTCTCAGGCTAACACAGGTACATACTGTTATCATGCCTGCTGCACTTTCGTTGCCATTTCTGAACGCTGGTAATAACCTCTTCTTCTGCCCGTGGTGGTGTTTGTCTTTAAACCAGGCTAAATCCATATATAGACCTAACAGATAATGACTCATTGCCATTTCAAGACATCGGTCTCTATTGCTCAATGGGGTACATATCACTCACCGAGCAAATGCGTGGCATTGCAGACCGAACTCAAAAGTGGTACCACTGATAGCACTGACTTGAGGACATAGCTATCGAGGGTGTACTTCTATACCTGTAGGTCAGAGATACCTCAGTTCAGATCTCACGACATCGAATAAGCAGCAGTGAAGCGCATGCAACAAATTTACATTCCTAACTACTAGAAAATTGGCTCTGCAATTAATCAATTTATCTTTCACCTTTCCAAAAAAAAAAAAAAAAAAAAAAAAAAAAAAAAAAAACCACTGTGTTTGACATGCGCCTATCCCATGTAACAGCCTCAGAAAACGAGGGCTATTTTTGCAAAGGAGATACCGGTGCGAACACTCTACAATCCAGCTGAAAGCCGCATGAACATGAGATCACTGCCCAAATGCGGTAACGTGGCGCTCCGCGGTGAATTAGGATGATGGAGATTTCTGTGCAACTTCCGCTCTGTTTTGAGAGGCACGCAGAACTACCTTGCCTCCTGAGTATGGACGCGTCCCTGGCCATGACTCGCGAACATATGATTACTTTCTCTGGTTCCTGGAGATGCAACCAGTAGAGAAAGGCATAGATGGCATTGTCAGTCGGCGTTGGTCAAATCTATGTACTACCAGTTAAGCATAGTCGGCTTAGGGCCAAGCAAACTCCAAGGTTAAGATGTCGCCAAAATGTCCGCAAGGGATGTTTTCTTTTGGGGTTTCCAACAAGCTACCTGTGGCGTCAAATCTCCTAGCACCAACTGTCTTCATGCATGCAGGGGAATGCAGCCCAGTCCGGAAGAGATAGGGGAAACTGCATCCAACCCAGCACTGTGTATATACTGTACTACTCAATCACTGCTCAGGCCTACAGGTACTTCAGATATCAGTAAAAATAAACCCAAATTAGAGATACCGAAAAGAAGATAGAAACAATGCTGGAATCGAAAGAACAAAGAACAAGCGTCGGACTCCAAGACAACATAGCATCACACGGTGTGCGATTCGGATTGAAGGAGTGTGACACAACCGGCTTGCCATGGTTGTGGTTGGCTGATGTCAAAGAAGTCTTAACTTGCAGCTGACAAACCCGCCCGCAGTAACTATCATCAAACGTGCCTCCTCCGCCTTTCTTGCCCTCGTTCGAATTTCCATCGCAGAATTCGTTTCTGTTTGCGCAGTTTCTTGGTTAACAGTGTGAGTAGAAATTGATGGATTGTTTTCTTCTGGTCAAACTCACCCCTTCAAGGACCCTGCTCAAGCTTTTCACGCCAGCTCCGAAGGCCTCAACCTTTCCGAGGAGAGATAACATGCGATCTGGCCGCGGATATACATCGAGGCCAGGTGTGCGAGTACTGGATCAGACTGAAGAATGCTTTGAATCAATCTCTCGCGGCGTAGGATTTCGCCACTCAGCATTTGCAAGGTCTGGTACGCAGATGACCCATCAACGCGGGCCTTTTGATAGACAAACGTCTCCCGCTCCAAACCCACCACTGACTCCTTATAGAACGAGAACAAATCATTGATCTCATCGGTGTTGTCCAGCAATTCGGGCGCTGCCTGTAACAGGCGCTTGAGTCGCGACATACTGCTGACTTCGTGGGGTAGGAGAAAGTAGACATATGCCTCTGAACTGCCATACATGTTTCGAAAATACTTGGGAAATGTTGGTGAGACGACGGACGAGAATATTGCCGACTGGCCATACTCCAGCTCCAGGCTGGACAGCGAATTCACTACGCTTGCAAACAGCTTGTTGGCACACGCAGTTGGGAACTCCCTGTCGAATTCCTCAAAAACGCTGGTCAACAAAGAAAACATAGTGGATGGCTCTTCGGACACCTCTGCAACCGTGCTGCTGAGCTGCACCAACTGTTGGCGGTACTGGGCGATAGAATCCATCATCGTGTGTCCCAGATCGTCCAGCACAGGTATACAGCGCCAGAACCGCCGTATGTCACACAGGAGGAAGTCTGGGCTACCCAGGAAGTCGGGTGCGTGGTCCTGCGTTTCCTCCTTGTTTCATGCATATGCATGCAGAATCCTGGCATTATTTACCCAACACTAGCACATATACTGTTCAGACTGTTTGGCTCTGAATTATACTATTTACTAGTTGCTTGCCTTCATCATACACCGCTAGGTGGCTGAAATGCTGCTTAATGTACAGTCGGTT